TATTAAAAATCTCCAATTTACATAAATATAAACAAGGAAAGCAAAATAATATATTCTTGAAGTTATACAAGTAACAAACATAAAATATATTGATTGCACAAACATGCGGAATCACAGCTTATTTTGCATTTCTACATACCAAAACTATGATTAGTTTGTAAAAACTGCTTTAATTGATATGAAACGTATTTAATTATGACATAAATTATTTTGGAATAAATTTCTATTTTTGAATTCTGGGTAAAAGCACGTTGTTTTTACTTTACTAATGAAAGCTAAACTGAGCACATCTAATTTTACCGAAAATGCCAAATACTGCTAAAAACCACCAAGAATGCAGGAAATCTGTTTGTTTTCTTTGTTTTAGTAAAAGTCAACGAAAGCTAACATCAAATCTAAAAGAAAAATGTCAGATTATACTGAAAGAGAAAATCAACTTTAATGATGACAAAGTTCCACTTGGAATATGTGAAAAATGTCGCTCTTGTTTAAGAAGGAAGGAAAGTGGAGAAGACATCACACTTCCATCATTGTATAAGTTTGAGACTATAAAACTTCGACCAGAAACTCGAGACTCTTACTGTAACTGCTTGATCTGTTCAATTGGTAAACTGAGACACAATGGTCAAATGAAAATTGAATTCGCACAAAGTTCAGCAACTAGAACACCTTCTTTAACAGTAGAAAAAAGATGCTCAGTCTGTTTTTCAATTATTGGTCGAGGATTGCCTCACAACTGCACAAAAGGCACTTTGAGAAATAATCTTGTTGCTGTAGTAACAAAGGATCCTTTGGCATCAGAAAGAATTGCAGCTCTTGTTGTTTCAAATAAAGCTCCTTCTCCACATGGAACTGTTCGATTAAGTCAACTTTATGGTGGAAAAATGCTTCCAGTAACACCAAGTATAAATTTTATATAGTTTTTTATAGTTCAAATTAATGATAAGTTAAATTTTTAACTTTTTGTATTCACTATAGGTTCGTCATCAGCTAGACAACTTTTCTCTTCAAATTCATCAATAAGTGTAAAAGACCTTGCTAAAGTTCAAGCAAACACAGGGCTTTTAAACAATGGCATTAAGAGGTTAGCAGCTACTATTAATCAGTCAACCTCACAACAGATTGTTGAAAAAAATTACGCCATAAAATTTGACAAATTCAGCAAGCAACTTGTACATCATTTCACAAGTTCATTAATTCAAGATCACGCTGGATGTGTGAGGACAGTCATACATTGCAAGAACTTCCATGAGCTTAAAAATGAAATTATAGCCATGAGAAGTACATCAAAAAATCACATTGTAAAGGTTGGAATTGACAGAGGAGGTGGGTTTCTGAAAGTTACCCTGGGAATTATTGAATTAAATCATGAACCTTGCATTCCCCCAGCAAAAATCAACTGCACAAGCAAGGTTTTTAAGGACACTGGTGTAAAACAACAACTAGTCATTGCTGTCTGTGAGGAGCTTCAAGAAAGTTATACTAACGTTTTGCAAGTATTTGAGTTGATTAAATTGAAAGACCAGGAGTTTGTCATGTCCTGTGATCTAAAACTTGCTAATATAATTTGTGGGCTTCAAGCACACTCAAGTGCACATCCCTGCACCTGGTGTGAATCTGGTTCAAAAGAACTTGTAAATCAAGGGAAATTGAGGACTTTTGAATCTCTGGAAAAAAATGTCTCACTCTTCAAGTCAGCTGGTTCCAATATTAGAAAAGCTCGTGACTATAAAAATGTTGTTCATTCTCCAATATTTAAACTACCTGGAGACACTTTGGTTTTGAATTTTCTTCCTCCCATGGAATTGCATCTCTTAATTGGAGTTTTTAATCATCTTTTTGCTGCGCTGCTTCAAGTTTTTCCTCGAGTAACTCTTTGGTCTGATGCATTACACATTAAACAACAACCTTACCATGGTGGACATTTTGCAGGAAATGAGTCCAGAAAGCTGCTACACAATATTGATATTCTTCAATCAATTGCTGAGAAACACTCATGCTATGCAGCCATCCCATTCATTGATGCTTTTCAAAAATTCAATGCGGTAGTATCTGGCTGTTTTGGGTGCAACCTTAATCCAAACTACCCACAAATAATTGAAGCATTCAGAGTGTCTTATCTGGCATTGCAAAATGTGTCTGTAACACCCAAGGTCCATGCAGTATTTTTTCATGTAAAAGATTTCATCGACAGATATGGCCAGGCTCTTGGGCTTTACTCAGAACAGGCAACAGAAGCAATGCATCACAACTATCAGATACATTGGCAAAGGTACAAAAGACCCAATCATCATCCAGAATACAGTAAAAAGTTGCAATGTTGCAATGTTGACTTCAATACTAAACATTGTTTGTGAAAAGTCATTTTAAGAAGGGATTTGAGAATAAGTTGTTTTTGAATTTGTTCCATTTAAAAGAAACTTTTTTTCTGAATATATTTTATGTTTGTTACTTGTATAACTTCAAGAATATATTATTTTGCTTTCCTTGTTTATATTTA